CAGTGGCGCGGCCAAGAGGGTGCAAACAATAGTCAATAGTTCTAGCAGGAAAATGGCTGGGTTTTGCTGCTTATCCTGCAAGTGGGCCGAAAACACTGCAATTCAAAAGATTTCCAAAGATTAAAGCTATGGAACAACTTCTTTAGTGCAGCAGGTCAAACTGGCTTGAAGCCACCCAATGCAACTTATCACAAAACGAAAATGACCACATGATTGAACAACAACCAATTTTACTAGGTCAGCTGTTTCCTTTTCAGAATCCGTGTAACATCCGCCGAATCCATTTCCCTCCCCATCCCACTCTGCCAAGCTGCGCTGGACCCTTGGGACCACCCAGCTCTCCCCCAAAGGCCTCGCGCGCCGCACTCGTCGCGCCGATTCCGAGAGTTCGAATGGTGGCCCCTTCGATGGCGTGTGCAGGGGGCTCCCTCGCCGGACTCCGGGACCCGCCACCGGATTCCGCCGGCCGAAAAGGGGCGGTTTTTGCCATGGCGGTCAATCGGTGGACCCCGACACGACACGACACGAGTCCTTTTGAGACAGGGCGGCTTTTTTCACATGTCGCTTCCCACCCACGGGTGGAATGACGACGACCGCTTTGACGATCTGGACGACCGCTTTGACACCACCCAGGTGGAGTTTTCGATGTCTTCGGAACTGTATTGGACCAGCTTGGGCTCCGAAAGCAGTATTTCAATGTTTGCAAGAACCGAAGAAGAGATGAGAAGTCTCACGGCAAGTCTTTGGATTTGACGGGGGTGGATCGTTGACTAAATTGTCATCTTAAGGCCCAAGCTGGAATTTAAGCATATCAGTGAATATAGGAGTGACATGGGGTGAACTTGATTACACTTGCCTTCATTATATGGCTGTGGGTCCCCCAAAGCAAGGTATATAATTAGGTGGACCTCCTTGGTCATCTTTTCTGTTCATTTTCGACGGTCAACTAGAGCCCCGTGAGTTTGACCCACTGTCATGGTGTCCATTCACCCACCTGACCATGTTCACGTCCCAGGCCTTTCGTCGCACAGCTAACAAACAAATGCAGGCGACCCCGCAACAGCTAAACACCTGGCGCGGTCAAGCGGACAGGACGGAGTCAGGTGCAGATTGTTTCACTGGGTGTGAAGCTGAAGCAAAGCACGCTCGCCAAACACGGAGAGTATCTGTCATGAAATTCGAGATCGCCTGCATGTTCTTTAGTTGAAACCCTGCATGAACTTGGAAGAGGTGCCTTCTAGATGGTAAACTTGGGAGGCGCCTTGGATAGAATCACTAAGTTGGCCCCCTTTTTCTCCCATGTCCCATGTCCGGGAGGTAAGGCCCTAGAATCCAACTTGGAAGGTGGCTGAGGGTGCTCTGCCCCAATCGTTGGAGTTCCAAACCTGGAGAAGTTCTCTCCAAATCTCTCACCTCGGAGAATTACTACATCACAAGAACATGGGCGAGAGAAATGTGAAATGCCTCAAAAACATCGGCACATGGCTCGTGCTTTCTTGGGCAAGGGATATGCTAATTCATCCCACAGAACGAGCTGAACTTCGCTTCGAAACTGAAAAAATCGTTCATTCAGTGGTGCATCTCCCCATTTTCAGCCATTGGATTCCCAGTTTCTTTAACCCAAAACCGTGGGAGCCGTGGTGCCTTGGGAGCCTTAAGGTCTCCACGTCTTCGTGGTCCACGGTCCCTTTCGATGGGATTCCGCATCCGAACCAGGTTCTGGGTTCGTCTGGGTTGCTGATTCCAATCATGGGTTCTATATGGTTCTATGGGATTCCAATCAGATGGGTTGCTGAGGGAAGAACCACCTTGAGAAACACAAGTAAATTCGTGCAATTGCACCCCTAGAGAACATCGTCTTTGACTCCCTGGTTATGGACGTTGACTCAACGCTGACCTGTTGACCGGGTCCCAAAACGCTTCCCCCCGTTGACCATTCATCCGTTGGCCGACTCCATTCGTTGAGGTTGACCAAGCCCACAACCCCTTCACAGCTCAACTCATTGGGCTGCCGGGCCATGACATTAAACCACAGATTTCCAGCTTCCACGACAAAGGCCTCGGCGAAAGGACAGCAGGTATGGGTGCGAAGGGCACTACACAGTATATATGGTGACACAATTGAACCAGTAACAAACAATTGGGATTATACGTATACGGTGTATATTGAGTTCTGGGAATACGGAGAACACTGCCCCACTTTGATGATCTTGATGGTTGATTGGTCGACAGGACCTTCCACTTTCTTCAGACAAAGTGATGCCAAACGTCATCTTTTGGATGGTCCGCCTTGGTGGTCCGGGCTGTGTCGACCTTGAAAGACTCCAATCCGATCATCCCAAAAAGATGGACAGCTCCAACAGCGCACCGAGTTCACAAAAACGGCCTTTTTTTTGTTCAAAGCTTCCGATCTTCAAACTTTTAGGGTCTTCTTAGCGCCTTGGCGTTGATCGAGCCTTATTGAGCCTCCCAAGTTTGTTTAGATAAACTGTGTATAGATGTCTTGCGGTGAAACTACTTGTGAAATATGTGGATTCCCTATTCATTGATCTCCTCGTGCGATTTTCTCGCTATTTTCCTGACCTCTGGACCGCGAAAGAGCCTCCAGGGTGCACCCTCGGCTTTGATAAAACCTGTGAAACAGGTGAAGCCTGAACCTTCGTACCAGGACCATCCTGTCTGGGTGTCCTGTCTGGAGAGCCTGGATAGCAGTGGAGGGTAGTCCAGCCAGGACACCCAAACAGGATGGTCCAGGTATATACTACCTGCCGACCTAACAAGTTCGGTCGACCTAACAAGTCCCAACTCTTTGGTCCCCAGCATCAGGGATTGGTCCGTCAGGACATGTTTCGACGGACCAGTTCGGATGTCCCATCCTTCAGCACCACTGCTTCTATGCAAATGAGACATAAACCCCGCATTCTCAGTGAAAAAACTTCCAAAGCAAATCTTAAGCAGTTCTCAGAGTTCAAAACTGAGACAGGAGGGTAGCTTCCAAGACCAGTCGTTGATCTCCGCCGCATCCCATTGATGCCGCCGTTTTTCTCTCTGCCATTGATCTCGCCCGAAATCGGTCGTTGGTGAAAGCGAACGGTACCAGTTCTTGCGGTCCGAGGACTTTGGTGCATTCGTTGCTGGATGTGGGTAGAGCCAAAGCAGCAAAACTGTCCAGCAGCTGTCTCCGCATTGTCCCCCAAATCTGCGAAGAGCATCCAGAGTACTTGAGAGAGGAAGGGGGTGAACGAAAGGTACCGCAGCACTGCGTGTGGAAAGAAACCGCCTACATAGCTTAAAACCATTGATATTACGTAAAAGGTTGTATGGGAGAAACGAACTTGTGTGTTTGGATCAGCCAAGTTTGTGGCCACTTTGAAGCCTACATAGCTTAAAACCATCGATATTTGCAGGGTTTTGTGCCGGGAAGGCGCACAAAACCGTGTAAATACCGTGGTTTTTTACAATGTTGAAGCCTCCGAAAGCCGAAAAAACCCTTTCCGACACAATCTTTCCTGGCTTTTGGTCATTTTTCGGCAATCCCTGAGGATCGAAAGTTAGCTCTATATGCTAACATTTGGGGTTGTGTCTTCTGGGGCTCTCCGACCGCACCCTGTGAGGTCCGACCTCAAAAAATCGAGATCATACCAGAACCCAAAAACCACAAAACCAACGATCCCAAATCACGGCCCGTCACGGGTTGTCACGCTGGAGTCCGACAATGACCTCATTTTTAAAGGGGAAAAATAGACCAATCACGGTCTGTCACGGTTCGTCACGCCCTGGTATGCTTGGCTCTTGGGATTTCATGGTCTTATCCTCCGACAATGATACTGGAATTGTATATACATTTCAGGTACCCCAATCTGTGATTCGACAACGTCTTCAAATAACACGATCAATAGAAACGTATGCATATCCTGAGATCATTTCTATTTGTGACCTATGTGTGGTCATGGATCGTCAGGGAATTTTTCAAACCGAGACACGTCAAAAACCATCAGTTTTTACGAGGTTTCTTGCCGAACAGCCACATAAAACCCTGTAAATTGCATGGTTTGAGATGCTTGAAGACAGGAGGAGCTGAACACACTGGTATTTACGGTGTTTTGTAGCCGTCGATCCAGAGGCGCACCACGGTTGTGTGCTGGGAAAGCACAGAAAACCGTGTAAATACCGTCGTTTTCTGCCGGGAAGGTGCACAAAACCGTGTAAATACCATAGTTTTGTGCAATTTTGAAGCCTCCAAAAGCCTCAAAAATCCTTTCCGACAAAATCTTTCCTGGTTTTTGGTCATTTGTCGGTCATTTTTCAAACCGAGACGCATCAAAAACCATCGGTTTTTTCGGTGTTTTTTGCCGGACAGCCACAAAAAACGCTGTAAATTGCATGGTTTTCGGCCACTGTTGAGGACTGGAAGAGCTGAAAACACTGGTATTTACGGTGTTTTCGAGCCGTTGACCCCGAGGCGCGCCAGGGTGGAGTTGAAAGGCCCCCCCCGGCCAGCAAACGAATATGTCGGGGGCCATTTCTCAGTGAGAAAGGCTCCACTCTGGGTATAATACATTTTTGCTAAAGCAAAAGGAAAACTCAGGTAGCGTAACCGCTACCTTTCGTGATTAGCCAAGTTGGTGAGGGATGTGGTATGATTGGGTTACCACATGATTACATGCAGCGGCTATTGCCTTACTTTACTAACATAATTCAAATGAGTTTGACCTCAAAAGTTCACTTCAGCAGGGCAGATCTTCTGATGGACTCGCAAGTGATTGGGGGATACAGTGATACCTTTCTAGTTTGGGCCACACATATGCAGTCGTAAAATCCACCTGTTCGGCTCAAAGAACACCCACCAACACTGTTGTGGAAGAGGTAGCAGTGCTACGGTAGCAGCAACTTCATTTGTTGCAGCTGCGCACTCTGTTTCACAGAATTCCGTTTCAATTCATATGTTCTTATGATATGGTAGAAAACTCCCGCAGATGTAATTTCGGGTGTGAATAGCTCATGGAAAATGTCATGGACCCACACCCGGCATTTCGCAAAAAGACACCACCTGTACACTGTACACAACTCTGCGACCATGTCAGTAGAACTTGGCTGATCGAAACAGAAAAAAAAGAAAGAGAAAACCAAGCGAGGCTGTACACTGGACTCATACTCGAAATGAGCATTCAGTCCACCTGCATGGCATGTTTGCCAACTTCGTGCCGATGCCGGGATGCCTGGTGGAGAGAAAGTGTTGTTTTGTGCCGCATTCCATGTTCGATGGACTGTCGGAGTTTTACCCCGCTAAGTCGACTCACATGAACCTTGGAGGAAACCGTCGGACCGAGGGTGCCATTCTTCCTAAGGGGTCCAACGTTTTCGACCTCGATCCTCGAAGAGGTATGGGCACCGGGAAACAGGCTGCTTCCGAAACTGAGGTTCTCTCAGGCTGCTTCCTCTAAAGCTTTCGTCTCCTCAGCACGCACCAGGCCAGGCTGGCTTAAACCGTGAACCTAAAAAATTGCGAAAGGCATTGTTCGTGCCTTTTTTTGCGAACAACAGAAGCGTCAGGTAAAGCATTAGGTAGCAAGAACTGCAAAAAATCAACCTCAGATTCTCTGGCACTCTATGGTTGCACATGGTGTGAATCCAGGGGATGATGCAAACCCGTTTTGAGTGCCTAAGAAGCGGCTGGAGACTTGTACTGAAAACAAACAACCATCAGTTCCAATTTTGTTTTCCTTCTTAAAAAGCCCATGAGTGGATGAGCTGGCGGCTTTTTCCATCCTCCACTCCATCCAACAACCACCCAACCGTTCACAATGGTTTCCTTCACAATCTCATCTCGTTTTCACATGACCGGCTTTCGACTCAAAACATGGTCGGCTTTCACCCCAGGCGGACTCTCTGTCGTCGGCCGGACTCTCCGTCTCAGACCGAGCATCCATCGGCCTTCGCTCGTGGCGCTCGACCGCTTCCCCGCGTCCGCGGCGTCCGCAACGGTGACGCCGTCGGCGTAGCCCGCGGCAGCCTGGTGGGTCAGGTCTGAAGGGCAAGGGCTCCAAGGGCAGCTGGGATGTTTCAGGTTTCTTTCGGAACCAAACACCTGGAGGATGACATAGACCGACCTGGAGTCGACCAGACAGGTACACTGTCTGTAAGCTACCGAAAAGGAATGCAGTAAACATCAATAAACTCGTCAAGCACAAGAATGGCGGGAACAAACTGGCTGGGCACAAAGATGTAGCCCATCCACAGGCTCTACTGCTTGGTAGAACTCAATCCACTATCGTAGACAGAGGCTGTTCTTGGAGTCACCTCGCAACCCCTCTAGGTGCTTAGGCACAAAGCTTGAAGTCAAGAAGTAAGCCGCTTCCTCTTGAAATCTGCTACCCTCCAACCCCTCTGCCTTGGGCACCACCTTTTGCACATCTTTCTCCTCTGGGTAGGGCCCAAGCTGCGCCAGCAAGCGATCCAAGTCTTTCATCAGCATAGCGACCTCCTCCACCCAAGGCCGATGTCGACAGCAGGCCGAAGACACCGGCAGCGAAGGCTGGGCGAGACTCCGGCTACCCGGCAGACCCGACGGACCAACCATGGACGGATCACGGATCGGTCGACTCACCTGAAGCGATGCAAAGCGATGCCCAAAGCGGTCGGACACGATCTGTACCTTCAGACTGGTGCATCAGACTGCGAGACGGAAGTTTCACCGTTTCGCCTGCTCTAGGTACCTACTTGGGTAAGTACTGAAGACACAAAGCACCGGAAAGCATGTATGAGACGCCGGAAGAAGAAGATCAAACTTCCGGAACCTTTGGGAACATCACAGTGCTTGACCCGCTCAGCATTTCATCCATCCGGTCCCGTCCTCTTGGTATCCAACCTCGGCATGGGGAGGTTGGCTCTGTGGAGCCTAGTTTCGTTGGATTTCTGGAACAGTCAAATTCAGTCGGCTCCTGGACTTGTCCATGCCACGGTTAATGCTCTACGACTCTACATACACATCTTTGACCTCATTCACATGCCATACCAGCTAAAGCTTTGCAGTATCCGACTGGACTTTATGGTTACAGCCTGCGACAACTCATCCTTGCCATGTGAACATTCAAAATCAGCACAGCCTCGACATTTCTTCCTCCGACAACAAGTGGCCCCCCTTAATTGGACTCCACAAATCAGCCCTAGACTTCCAATTCTGTCAAGTCCATTCCTTGAATCAAAGGAAACCATATAATACACACCCTCAAACAATCGTGGATCTTGAGTCTGACTTGTGAAGCCAAGTGGTCGCCCACGAGCCCTGTTTCTCCCTGTATACAAGATTGTTGGAGGAAGGATAAGATTCAGTTCCCTTAGAACTTAGAACAGACCCAGTCATTCTCAACTCTCAACAAAAAACATGCCAACTCCCAGTCGTCGTTCTTTGAAGATATAGTTACAGTTCCTTCTAAACCAAGTGGGTGGTGCTACAACCACATCCCCAGCTGCTCAGCTCGCGCGTCAATCTCTCCAAGGGTCCGCAAGGCGCAGCCAGGTGCCGTGCTTCGCCGTCCCGGAACTCGTCCTCGTCCACGTCTGTTCGCCGGTCTGGTCATAGAGCTGGGCAGGCGCAGCGTGGGGCCACGGGTCCAAGCGCGAGGTGCTCGAACCAAAGGAGGTCCTGATAGGGGACCGGTCGCGAGGTGCGGGAGCTGCTGTTTCGAAAGCAAAGCGGAAGCAGAAGAACGCGAACGTCCGGACAAAGGATTCATGTGGAGTCTCCAAAGCCAAAGGTGGATATGAATCTTCATATCCAGCTCAGGAAGGGGTTCGGTTCATAGAAGCATGGCTTAAGAATAGGGTACCATCCTGACCAATTGGCACAAGGTTTGTAAACAACATGTAAAAAGGATGTGAAGGTGACATTAAACATCCATGCAGGTTCCCTGTAGGTTCCTTGCGGGTTTTCTGCGGGTTCCCTGCGGACCTCTCCTTCACATCCGGTCACCGAATCGCAGCCTGGGGACTTGCACTCGGGCGAGGTCCACGCAGTGATCGTCTTCATGACGTGCTGCTTCTTCGCCGAGACATGAAACCAAAGGCATCCGGGCCCTCCCTTCGTCAAATATCCTGGGAGGGGGCGCGGCGCGCTGGAACATCAGAAAACGATGCAAACAAACTTCAGTGTTTACCACTGCAACTACTGCTCTGAACCCCCCCCAAAATTGGGTGTGAGTGTGAGCGTGGTTGGAACCCATGGCGCCCATCACCATCCATCACCCATCATCCGCTTAAGTCCCTTCTCCTTCTTCTTCTTCTTCCAAATGCAGCTGTGTCTCGCTTGGCGATCGAGAATGTGGGGTGGGACGGCAGCAGCGGATACATTACCTGTCTCCATGTGCCGAGGTCAGAGTAGAGACACCCAGCACAGCATGTGACGGCAGCAGCGTGTGAGCAGCAACCCCCATGAAAAGGTTGGGAAAAGATCATAACAGTGAAACACCCCCAGAGATTGGCTCAATATACCCCTCAAATCAGACCCCTGGCACGAAGCAGCACGGAGCAAGACCCACCGCGGTGGCCTTTCAAAGGAGTCAAGGGATCACGGTGACCCCGGAAGGTTTTTCGTGCTTGGTACAAGAGGGTGACTTCATGTGATGAGGGCTTCATTGATCGACCTCGAAAAAACTCCGACTCTCAGAGAGGGGTGCTTCTCAATGTGTAGACTGGGTTCCTATAGGGGTTCCTATGGGTCGTTGGTGGGTTCCTGGTTGGTTCAACCCACGAACTGAGCAAATGAACTTGAGCGAATCATCTCAGCTAGAGTGGCGCGGTTCACCGCTGGATGCGCTTCCAAACACTCCGCCAGCGCCACAGCACTCTTCGAGGTGGCCTTGAAGGTTTCGTGGGCGAAAAGAGCCAGCGTGTTTCGTAAGCAGTAAGAGCCGAAGTGGCTGGGGGATGAAGACCTGCCTGATGAACAACTGATCTTGTGGTGGTTATTTGGGGATGTCCAAACTTAGCCAAATTGCATCAACAGTAGGGGGTGACAGCGAGCAGTTGGACAGTAACTGACCCTGTTGCCCGTGACCAGGAAGCGAAATCTGCATGTGACATGTACAAGTGGGACGTTCACACCCAACTCATCCGTGCATTGACGCTTTGACGATCTCAAACATGATGTTGCCATCTTTTGTGAAAGTAAACTAGCCCTATAGCTTTCTGTTGGTGTTGCTCTTCTAGAGTGTTTACATAGGTTGTATTTCAAGAGCCTCGGACCCATTCCGCCTCGCTCCGGACCCTCTCGCTCTACCTCTCACTGCTATGTGTGCCTCCATCCGAGCGTGGAGGCTCTGGAGGCCCTCGGCGAAGAGCTGACAGTGGTCTTGTCCCACGAAGATGCCAAAGGCCTTGATCCTGATCACCATCGGTCGAACACGGCCCTGTGCATAAACACCCAAAGCGGAGGGAGGAGTTTTGGTCAGAGACAGGAAGTATTGGGAAGGATTCACTGGGTTGAAAAGAGGTGATATTCATTGACATTCTATATATATTTTTGGGTGGTGCGTCGTGAAACAAAGGGATACCCCCCCCAAAGATTCCTGGGAAGAGGAGAATTTATTATGACTGTTTCCTTATTCAAATAGCTGTTGTAATCCAAGTTCATGCCAAGTGGATGATGGACCCTTCGAAGTAAGTTTGAGCCTGACCTCTCAAAAGCCATGTAAACAGGAACCTAAACCATCCCTGTGGGTCAAAACCATCCCTTGGGTGACCTACCAAGCGACATGGTGTCTTGTGAATCGACCGCTGGTTTCTGAGTCTGACTCGGCTGAAGACCGTCTGACTCGTCTGAGTTCAAGACCTTGTTGGTAAGCATTGATAAGCATTGGTTGCTGGGTAAAAAGGACTGCGCAGTCCAGGATTAGAATCCTAGAGAGCTTGGCAGTTTTCTGTCCCGCCCGGTCGCTTTTGGAGCCCCAACACTGCGATCCTCTACATCCTTTCTTTCTATATAGACTATATTGACCTCAATACCTCGAGTCTCCACAGGAGCCTCTGAAAAATTGAACGAATACGAAGAGTAACAGGAAGCGTCTGGGATCCAGAGTTCAAAAGACTTAACGCTGGAGTTGATTCCTCTTCAAACATGAGTGCAGCACAGGTCTGAACTCTAGAGGACACCCTGTAATTTTGCACTGTCATGTGCAACCGAGACTAAACGTTTAGATCAGTCTTAAAAACCTTTCAAGAGACTGAACTCCGGAGTTTTTCCGCGAGCAGAACAAGGTTTATATCCCCAAATATCCTCAAGATTGAGGACCCGGTTTAAAACCCCTTTAGAGGTAATACAACAAATGAAGACAAACGCCTGAAGGATCTCCAAACCATAGAGGAAAGCCAAACAATAGAGAAGGGACTGATCTCTGGAGTTAACCTCAGAACTGTAAAGTTTAGACCTTGAACTCTGAGACTCAGTCCTTTCTACAGCAACATGTACGATGCCATGCGTGTTGTGTTCAAACATATTAACTTGAGATGCCTGCCAACCAAAAGCAATTGGAAAGATCCAAACAAGGGGATGACAAAGAACACACAACTACCTGCAGCCTTTATTCTTGAAGCACAACAATATTCTTTATAGTTCTCATTAATTCTCTATCCTTGAAGCCTGCAGTCTTTATTCTGTATTCTTCCAGCAAAAAGCAACATACAAACTACTATCTATTTATAGTAAATCTAAAATTAAACTCTAATTGCGGGTCTCCAAAGCAATCTCCCTTGATTGTTAAGCCTCAAACAGGGCCTCAACCCTCATTCCAGGCGTGGACACAACCCATATGACACATCCAGGCCGCCACGAGAGGATGGGTGCCATCAACCCATTCGGCCTCGAAGGGACGAGCCGAAGCGAGTTGATCAATTGACGTGCTCGTGCTTGATCACTTGGAGGATGAGAGATGATGAGAAAGCATCTTCAGTCTTAACTCAAGTTAACCAATTTTTTGATGTGGAAGAAAGATGTTGTAGCCCAGTATGAGGGTGAATCCGCTGCCTGAACATGGATAAACATGAAGGAGGTAAGGATGGAACCACTACATGGTTTTTGTATATCCTTGCAGAACCTTGCTGGACTCTTAACAAGAACTAAAACTTTTGTAAATGAACCTGTCTGGTCTCCTGGTAGGAATCTAAGCCGTGGTACCCTCTATGTTCACGAAAACCAGGCATGGAAAACCTGTCTTTAAAGCATCTGCTTTGCACAAATGAAGTTTGTGAAGCGCTATCCGCTCCAAACAAAAACAACGCGATGGATCATTGCCGGAGACTCCACCACCCCCCATTGCCTCGTCCGCTCAACATGCGGTGGCGGAGTCAACACTGCGTGCCCTTGTTACTAGTGGCTTCTTGTTCCTAGTAGTAATACCAGGAGCTACTAGTAGCGTCCTTCGGCGTCCTTGCTCATAGTAGCGATGCACCTTGCTACTACCAAGCATTTCCCAAATGCCAAATCCTTGAACCAATGAGGAGCCCCAGCACGGCGCCACCAATGCACATCCCTGCGGAGACGTACTTCGTCATGCTTTCGACCTCCGACCCCGCCGGATGGCGATCCGGAGGCTTCCGCAGGTCTGAACGGAGTTCGATCGATCCCACAGGGGGTATTTGATCTATACCGACCCCATCCATCACAACTCAATCACTAAGACAGCTCCCTCCCTTAATTGGGGGATTCAGGATCCAGGATGAAGTTGCCAAGAGATCTTGAGGGGTATGTTGAACTATAGCTATTTTGTAGTAAATGAAAGTACCTATTGTACAGAATCTATTTCGTACCATGTTGTAAACCTCGTGGTCATTGCAGGGTTCTCACGTCAAAATGCTCTCACCGCCGGAAGGGGGGTGGATTATTCAATGTGTTTTGATTCTTGGCAGGCCTATACCATCAAAGACGATTTATATAAGTTATAAGTGCACATGCTTTTTGGGGCTAACTAGTTGGTGAAGCGCAGCCACGCGCAGCCACTCACAATATTGTAATCATCGTTTTTTAGCTACTGGGACTGTGGGTGGGCCTCTCGATAAGCATTGGCGCTTCAGTGGAAGCAGCAGTCTTTCTGGGGGTGAGTTGGAGAGTTGGGATGGGCTGGGGCTGTAGCTTGCAAGCGCTTCATGTAAACTACGGCACACTACAGCCGTCTTTCGCATGCGGCACACTACAGAACTCTGTTTCGTTGTCTTGTTCTCTTGTTGCGTTTGAGCCGTCTTTTGTCCACATTCAAGAACCACTCCATGTTGAAGAACTTCTTGAATCGATCCGACTGGGTCTGCCAATCTGCGATTTCTTTACTCTGCCAGCTCACCCTCTGAATCTGACTTGGTTTCCGTCATTCTTTCTGACAGCGGGAAGGGCCGTTGCTCTTGTTTCTTGTGAATCGGGGCTTCGCGCGTCTCCTCAATACTTCGTTGTTCGTCCGACCTCCATCGTTCGTGTCTTGTTGTGCACATCCGTCGATCACGTGGGCGACTCCGGGTGTGGACTCTGTGTGTCTTGAGTAGAGTTCCCTTCGCACAGGTCGTCAATGATAGCACAGTTCAGTTTGCTAGAGACCTCAAAGGAAAAAAAAGAAGCTTGCCGACCAGGCCTCAGGTAACAGTTGTTGGCAGGAAAGGCTTCAGACAACTTCGTAACGTTTGGAACCCCCTGCAGAAATCTTTGCCACAACTGCTGCGTGCTCGCAAAACCCGCTCCGGTGATGTCGGTGGAAGGAGCTTGGACGTTTCTCTCCTCCGCTGAAGGGAGATGCACGTAGGTGACGCTGACAAGCCACATGCCTTTTCTACTGGCCCTGCAGGCCCTGCAATTACCAAACCAAAGCGGCCGGTCACCTAGGTACCCCCAAAAGCACCAACGCGGCACGTGTGTTGACCTTCCCGGACGTGGCGTCTGAGGCGTCTTCAAACGTGCGAGGCGTCGCGTCGCGGAGACTATTTTCCCCTGGTTGGCGGTCAATACCTTGGCTTGGCATGAGTTTGTGCTTCTTTCGTCAGACTGGCAAAGTTGGCACTCCCAGTGGATCAAGTTCCCACTGTGGGTATGTTCCCATTGGCTCCAAACACAACAAAGGGCCAACAACATCGGCCAACAAAGGGCCAGAATCATCGGCTCCACATGCCTTTAGACACTATCTCCAGGCTCAAACGGCTCAAACTTAATTATAGTAAACATCTTACCCCTGAGAAGGGGTTTGACCAATTCCGAAAGCACAAGACCATCACAAAACCGTTCTTCAAAGAGCAACATGACCAATATATTTATATACGGACTAAAAAACCTGCGAAGTTTCGAGATCATTCTTGCAAACACTGAGACTCCAAGACCGAGGACTTCATTCCCTGTTTCATCGCCAGGATGCCACCAGGTCCGCACCATGGTCCAAGGGATTGAACAAAGCACCGGAGAGCCAGGTATTATCGCACACGAAGAGGCACTCCTGTCTTGCACCAAACGAAGCGGCGGGTCACATGGGCAAGGTAGAACTTGGTGCAGGGCGAACAGAATTGGAGGTCTCCCCACGAAATATATTCCATACTATTCCCTAAATATATATTCAGGGAATCTCAGGGAGGAATCGGAAGTAGCTCAGCATGTTCACAATGGTCTTGTGGTGAACAGGGTGTTCTAAGAGGTGGCATCTGATCTGCCTATATAAGATGTTTTCACCCAACTGAAACAGGGTAAATCAGTTGATCCATCTGGTCGGTGAAGCCACTGCCCACGGTGTCCGTAGTTGTAGATAGCCCCGTCTCCACATCAAACGCACAAACCACTCTAGACTCGAACCCTCCAACTTAGGCGTCACACATTAACTTATTAATCCGATTGTGCCTCTGCCGCTTCTGCATCGTCCTCATCGGATTGATCGCTGTCCCGCACAGAAGTTCAACCAAGGAGACTCAGAAACACCCCCCAAAGGTCAGACAGACCCTTTTGCGGAAACACAAAGTGTGGCTTTATGACAAGCAAAAGCCCTTTGTATGACTTTGGGGGGTGTTTATCGACTTTGGGGGGTGTTTATCATACCCTATTTTATCAAGCCAAAGTGTGGCTTGATCTTTGTCCGTCCCGCCCTTTGGGCTCTGGTGCCGACTTCCTGAGTTCCAAGGCTCTGGTGCCGACTTCCTGAGTTCTTGAATGAGGCGGAAGTCAAAGAACTGTCCTCGGCATTCTGCACTTCGTGAAGGCGCGAAGTAGAAGCGTCAACCCTGATCACATCACAACGGTGAGGTGTTCTAAGAACGAGCATCCGGCACCAGGTCAAGACCTCACCAGCATACCACCCACCTCTACATGTCATCCACTCGCCGCTTTCCACTGGCCGAACGGACTGCGGTGGTGGGTCAAAGCGGAAGACGCATAAAAGAAAACCATGGACGCACCCTGACGCACCCGACAGCTAGAGCTACAGGGTTCATTGTAAATGCTACAGTAGTCATGAAGGAAAAACAATGATGAAATGCTAACCAATGCTAAGCCCCCCTCCTCCCTCCTAAGACTCATGGGAAGCCATGTGGCAAATTGATCTCTGTCGAATCCGACGCCCAAAAGTTTATCCAAGGCCTTTCCAGTTCCCTCCAAGTTGGAGGAACTTTTGTGGGCAGAGGTCACTGGAAGGGTCCAGGGCAATCCAAGTCCAGTCTCCACTTGGATTGGTCGCGGTCTCAAAGTGAAAGACCTTGATGGACGCACCCATCCTCGCTGGAGGGTAGAGAGCTCGGCAAGTGCTTCAAGGGACCGGCAAAGTCAATGGCAAAGCTCCCAAATATTGGTCAGGTATTGACGGCTACACTTGGCTTGAGGGTACACATATGGATAATTATGGATACTTGCATATATATATATATATCCACATACCACAAACATGCTGCTTACCTTTTCGGCTTCTGGGAAGTGGGGGCACTTGTAAATCCAACAAACACGGCGTTTGAACAGGCGGCCCAGTTCAAGCATCTCAATTCACGGAATCTTGGTCAAAAACCATAACTTGATATGGGTTCTGCAGCTCAAAGACGGGCTCTGGACCCTGTAAGAAGACCCAAAAAGACATTCTTTTCATCTGGACCTGGTAGATCCCAGATGTCCCAGGTGTAGTGTTCTCGTTTTGTTCCGACGAAAGAGCACCAAGGCTCTGGGCAAAGAGCTCGCGCAGCTCCCCGTGACGCGTCACATCCACCGCCATGCAGCGGGCGCGGCCGGAGGAGTCCGCGATGTAGTGCAGCGTGCGAGGGACCTGCGGAGGAGAAGGTTCTTGTCAGCAGCCGCTTCGCAACTGCTACATGTTTGAGGTTCAAAAAACTGCTACATGTTTGGGACCTGCGGAGGTCCGGCTTCTGCTACATTGTGAGGGTCAAAACCCGAGTGAACTGAGGATCCAGCCATGTTCCAGCCTGTGTGTTCCCACAGAATTCGGGTGAACGTTCCGCGGACAGAACACGCGGACGAAGAACACATCACCTACGATACTGTCCTTTACGAAGGGCTCGGGGATCCCATGTGTTCGGAGTGTATCCACGGCCATGGATCTCATCAGGCCAGGACCCAACGGCTTCATGGGACCTGGAAAAGGACGGAGCAATGAGTTGGGGGTGGGAGGATACAGCCTACCTTAGGTAGGTAACCCTATCCACCCTACCCCTGAAGTCATATGCTAAGGTTGAGGGGATGGGTGAGGCTTCAAAAGACTTCAGCTCACGGAGGTGAAGCTCCGGAGCCGGACTGCTAAGCTTTGCGACCTTCCAGAGTCAGTCCTGGTAGGCAATCGTTTCCTAGGGACATCAAACACTACCAAACAAAACAAGTCAACATAAATTGATATCAGATGATATCAGATGCTCATTGGAACTGTCCTCATGAAGTTGGACTGGTGTGGTGATCTGTGGTGTCGTAAGCCGGTTGTATGCATCGGGTGCCTGTCGTAGACATTCGCGGCCCGATTAAGCATTGCGAATTGGTCAGAGCCTTTGAGGGTTGAGACTTCTGGTTGGAGGATCTATTAAAGATATTTAAAGATTGAACCATCCCTTGAATCCAGCGGAATCATCAATCCCCACACAGACTTGCCAGGACCCTGCACTGTGTGACTTTTGTTGAGAGAATTTTCACCACAAAACAGCCGACGAGGATTCACCCAAGGGAAACAAGAGAAACGGCCAGACCTCCAAATAGACAGAGGCTTCCTCTCCAAACCCAACTGCTGGAACCTTCTGTTTTGGAAATTGTTTTATGACCTTCGCCCTTTGCTTCAATGAGGGACCGAACTCAGGGCGGATGCCACATGCATTTCAAACCCTGGAAATCCATGCCTGTGAGCAGAAACTGATTGCCCATGAAGTGTCCATGAAACTCCCGAACCCGAACCAGCAGAGTTCGTGGCCTCGCAGTAGAGTTCGTTGCCATGCACCAAGATCCATGGTTTCTTGGCATCTGCCTCCAACGCTTCCGCTGGTTCTTTCTACGGCAAACCATCTCATAGATTTACCCTGCCATTGAGAAAACCAAGATCACAATGCAAAACCAAGATCTGTGCAGGGCAGGACATTTTGAGGGGATCATGAAATGGTGGGTGATGTTTCAACTGTGTGCAGTAGGGCTTACTCACAGTTCACGGTGAACACACAAAATTGCTTAAAGCTGGATCGTTTTGCAGTCCCAATGTTTATCAACTTTGATATGTTGAGCAGATCCGCAAGGTCCTAAACATTCGACTCTTGTTTCCTACTGGGTGAGGTACAAGTAAATAAATCACCACTGGCTGTGAAACTGCGGAAGTCGATTTCTCCATCTATCCAGTTCCTTGCGGGAAACCACTTCGCGGATTCGCGGATGGTGCAAGTGGTCTTTCTGTCATCAACTGCCCATGGGGTAGTACATGATATGAGACCTACAGCACATAGCTTAGCCGTTCCATTGAGTTTGGACGTGGGAATCGATGTGCCCTCACCTATGTGCTCTCACATGTGTGCTCTCTCACACCTGTGCTCTCATATGTGGGTCTTTCATGTGTTTGTTCACATTGCGTGCTCATGTACTCTCATGTTTGTGCTCTAGAGTGTGGAAGTTTGCTTGAGTACACTTGTCTTGTTCTACTTGCATAACATTCAAGATGTCTTTTATATAAACATCAACTTCTGCCCACCAAGTTCTCGCATGTTTGGGTTTCTGAATCTTTTCCAACAAAAACATTGGCGCTTTCTCGCTTGCGCGTTCTTGATCGTTTGGGACCTTCCAGCATCCGCGAACCCCGCCACCCGCTGCGGACTCCTGCTGGTTCTGCGCGATGGCTGCGACGGTCGCTCCGATCGCAGCCATGCCCGAGGGAAAAATCAAAGCTTGGTGCTGCTGGTCGTTTCGCTGGTAGAGCCGGAGTAAGGACGACCTGAGCATGAGCGATTTCAAGAAGTGAACTTCCTGGAGTCTCAAAATACGTTTGGACAATTAGATACCTGTTTCATCCTGCTTCTATAGGGCCATGTCCCATTTTCGTACTTTGCAGGGTCCCTTTCTATCTCCCCCCATTTGAGGCATAAGGGTCGATCCAAAGTCATCATCAACCATAGCTACCTTTAATATTGGCGGAATGCTGAATTCTTTTCAAATATTATATGTCTGAGCTAAGAGGAACCTCAAACATAAAAGTAAGAAGGATACTACAAAAAAGGTCAACTCCTATGACTCCTATACAAGAAGGTTTCAAGCAAGTGTAGGCAAGGCATTGCGGTGGCACTTGGGGTGGACACCCTCTGGCCAACAGGGAAACTGACCAATACACACAAAAAGTGCATCCAACGTCCCAAATGTTCCAACCCAGCCGAACCTCGCGCCACCGGTGGGGTCGACTCCGGCGACCGCGACCAGTCGAGGCGACTCCAGTGCTTCTCGTGCTCGACTCCAGGTGCGGGCGTACAGGGGGAACCCTCTGCGCTCGCTAAAGACCAGCGCTTCAGACTCCACCGCCATGGCTTCGAAGCACTGCAGGTTTTCTTTCGACTTGCGCACCGAGGGGGGTCGGTGGGACGTGGCGCGCCACACACGTATGTCGGATGGTGTGTAGGTTGTGGGCAGTGTGGTTTGAGCCGACTTCCAGTCAATCACTGAGTTGACTGGGCTGAACAAAAAAACGTGTTGGTGGAGTGAGTGTTCTATTATCCTGTGCACATGGATTGTTCCATCATGAAAAAGGTGACTAGCACGAAGAAGCCAACTAGTGCCAACTAGTCTAATGATCCGAAAACAGCACGCAGTGGACATGATAGGCGCTGATTTGGGCATGAGACGGAGTGCCAGGTGGCCCCTTATAGGCGCCTGTGGCCCCTCCGCATCTTGGGGTTGCATCGACAGTGCGCCAGCCCACCATCAGATTGTGGATACTTGTCCCTAGGCCTTCAGTCGTACCTTCTAAGAAGGTGGGACTGGGGTGGGTTTGGAGGGTCTAAATACCTTCTGAGGGTACTTGGAGGTGTAGGGTGTAGGAGATTTTTGGGGTGGACATGGCCCGGCCCCGAAGAACTGATTCCGCCCGGCCCGCTGACCTGTTTGTGGCTGAGACACATACAGAATAAGAGGATGACACACATAGATCAGGGTGACGCCGACTCCACTCTCGTTGACCCTGACTTAAAGACTTTCCTAAACGATTGCACGGGGCTGTGCAATAGCTCCCATCAAGTTGTCAATCGCTTTTTCATGGCTTTTCTCCACCAACGGTCCCTTCTGGGAATCGGAATCGACGTTTTGATTTGGAGCCACCACAGGTCGCTGGTTGGAAGGTCAGAATGTTGGATGCAATAGCTGACTTTGAACACACATTGCCCAGAATTGTCGTATCTCAAACACTCCACAAAACAAGCATATGTGCCGACGTTGGAGTGGTTTCAGGTTTCCATGTATATATGTAGGATACTATAGGTAAAGATCTTCCATAAAAATGAAATGTTTGGCTAACTAATTATAAGCGCATATAAGCACCCACTGGGTTAACTGTGCCATCTACTTCGCATTGGACTCCACATCCACTTCGCACACAGCTGAGGCTGGATTGCGAGAAGTCTGGGAGCCAAACGCCTTGGAGCCAGTCCTGGGCAAACTCTTTGTCCTGGCGACGGGGTCCCCGATCCAAGACAACTTCGCAGAAATCAGCGGTCGCTTGCCTACATGATCCTCGTTCTCCAACCAGGATTCTTTCGTAGCCCTTAGGTTTGATGTCTTTTTCCTTCCTCCCTCTCTCTGTCTTGGAAGAAGATGACGCTGCAAGTCAAGGTCATGCATCCGCCGACTCTGCAAGTCAAGGTGCATGGCCAACAGTTGCGTTCCCATCCTTGGGAGGTCCTACCATACATCCTTTGTGTGTCAAAGTACCTTGGAGAATCGGTGCAGAATACAATGAAAAGTGTAAATCTCAGTGAACTCTTAGTCTAAAGGGTCCTAATGTCCCTAGCCATTGGAATATACATATATATTGGACTCCAAGAAGCAAATGAGAAGCTTCCAGCGCTTCAACATTGAGTGCTGTCCCACTTCTGGCTGAATTCTCTGTGACTTAAAAAAAATACATATTATATAATGCTATATAATGCTTGAGTATGCTCAAATATAACATTTTTTGAAATACATGTTGAAAGTCACAAAGCAAACCCTGGTGGTTCCTTTGGTAATTACAAGCAACCGAATCGATGGGAGAAACACAACACATGACAACCACATCCATGTACACCATCCACACAGATCAACTCCAACCTGCCATGGTCAACCCCCCCAACTCCCCAACTCCTGTGCTCCCCCGCACCTGGAACCGCGCCAGCCAGATCGGATCGGCCCCACCGATCGACCAGTAGAGGGCCTCGGTCCGGCGCCACGGACGGAGAAACGGTCCCGAAGTCAGAGATCGATCGACTCGTTTGGACCTGGTTTGAGGATTCGGGTCCAAAAGCATCTGAAGAAACGCACACTCTGGGATGTAAGTCGAAACCGGCAGTCTATCAGGTTCTAGTTAGGTCTTTCCATCTTCAAAAAAGCATAAAAAAGCTGTTTTTGTCCAAATGTATCCCAGATCCTTGTTTGTCGCGGGGCCAGGTCAAGTCTTTGGAACAGGGCCGAGTCGTCCATCCCCGATGCCACTGCACACGTGCGGTGGCGGCTGGTTTTCATGTAGGCCACCGTGGCAGTGCAGTCGGGCGGTTGGAGCTGGACTGGACGAACAGAAACACAGACTCGTCTCCGTCCGTCGTAACTCCGACAGATTTCCCCGAGAGACCTGAGGTGCCCAGCGCCTAAGGTCCAGGGAAGGCCCAGCCCGAGGAAGACGTTCACCGAATTGCTGCCTCCGAGAACGACTGGACCGAGACCACGGGGCTTGGTGTTTCTTTCCGGCCCTGGTGGATCAATCTTGCTTTTAGATCAGTGGAAAAGGAGAGGACAACCACGGAAAACCGGATGAGTTCAACAAATTGGCCGCCGCAGAAAAAGGGTGAAAACAACCTTCTAATCTGACATCCGCAGAAGTTCATTGGAATGACTACCGGAGTGGTTCTGTTCCCCCCAAAGACTGGATGCCTTCCACCTTATGACTTCAACCCGCTGGATGCCTTGCACTCGGCTTACATGGGATTCCTTGGGCAACAAGATCGAGTCGGGTGGCAATTGGCTGCAGCAATGAATCCCACGTGCCACTCATACCACTCAGGGACCGTCTGGGTGAACAGGCCGTCGAGACGGCACCTTGGGGGAACACGTGCGAAACACACAAACTAGTGAGTGTATATGATTTAGTAGTGTAACTAGTGGGAGTGCTGGATCCACTGGAAACTAGTGGAACAAACTGGACTGATTGGGCAAGCAAACGTCTGGAGGTTGAGCCTGCAAGACTTCTGCTGGAGGGGAGGTAGCAGCTTGGCAGTTGCTCTACAGATTCTTGTCCAAAGTACTATTGACGATTGAGCTTTACATCTGCAGCTTATCAGGTTGGACGCCATCGCTAGTAGGTTGGAGGCCATGGCTATTAGGTTGGACACCATCGCTGTACATATGATTCAATTGTATACTTTTGCAGTAACCCTTCCATCCCGGTTACTGGGCCACACAAGTCGGGCATTATTATGCATACATATATGTGTATATATATACTATACTATATATATATATCGTAATATAATAGCACTTAAATACTGCTAGTGTGGGACTGTCTCCGGCCTTTTAAGCTGCCCTCAAGTACTGTTCCAAAGACTGGGCCAGTCTCTATCAAATTCTACCAGGACCAATGCTTTTGACCAGTTCTTTAACTGGCCAGTGCTTCTTGTGGTTTCTATACATCCACTACTCCACTACATCTTCAAAAACAAATTGTTCCCTTCAAACCCACAACAAACTACCGGGGAAGTCAACTGTCATCGCCTCCTCTTCACACTCACCATGCTCCCTAACTCAAGCAATCAAAAGCCGCTTCTTCAGGGCATGCAATGAGGACACACACACACACAAACTCCGGTCAAAGCCGCTGCTTGGGACCATT